TCGTATTGCCTCTTGGAATATAAGTTCAGTCTTTGGACTCCTATATTCAATTCTGGGAAATTCTCATCTTATCTCTTAAACAAGGGCTTCTCTACTATTTCTTTTGAGTTCTCTTGGTGATGCAAGTAAAATTTTGCTTCTTAGCATAGATAGATGATAGATAGGCAGACAGATAGATACTATCTTAGTCTGTTTAGGCTTCTATAACAAAATACCACAGACTGGGAGGCTTACAAAGAACAGAAATGTATTTCTCACAGTTGTGGAGGCTGGGAAGTCTAGATCAAGGTGCTACCATTGGTCACCTTCTGGGTGAGGGTCCTCATCCTGGTTCATAGTTGCCATTTTCTCTCTGTGTTTTCCTATAGGGCTAGGGATCTCTGCTGGGTCTCTTCTGTAAAGCACTCATCCTGTTCATGAGAGCTCCAACCTCAGGCTTAAGCCCCTTCCAAGGTCCCACCTCCAACTACATCATCTTTGGGGGTTAGAACTTAACATATGAATTTGGGGAGCACATAAACATTCAGAACATGATAGAGATAGGTAGATAGATAGATAGATAGATAGATGGATAGATTAGATAGATAGATTAGATAGATAGATAGATGATGATAGATAGATAGATAGATAGATAGATAGATAGATAGATAGATAGATGATAGATAGATGATGATGATAGATAGATAGATAGATAGATAGATAGATAGATAGATAGATAGATAGATAGATAGATAGATAGATGGATGTTGCATCATCTCTGGACTGCATTCTGCATCTTCCACCAGTTCTCTCTTCAGATATATCCAGGCAAGCCTTTAAATTAGTTTATGTATTTTCTAAAAATTCCAGTAACTACATTTTTTGTTTTCGATATTTCTGAAGGGTTTTCTTTCAAATCTACTTGTTCTTTTTAAGATTTAAAAAAAATCTGTTTACATTTAAAATCCCTTGCTCTTTAATGAACATTACTTCTTCATTTATTCCATGAGAATAATTAACATACTGACCTTTGTCTGATGATTTCTTAAAATTAATTTTACCCGGAAAGAATTCATGATCCTATTGTTGAGTGCTGCCTTTCTTAGCATTTTGCATTTTGCGTACTCATGATGAGTAGGAGGGTGTGTGTATATATAGGTCTCTCTTATGTATGTCTGCCTGTCTTTTTCCTGTCTTCACCCTTCCTTACTTCACCATTTTATATTATCTGCCTGACCTCCCAACCCTCTAGACCAGACTGGGCTTAATAACACCCATCCCAATTGACGGGTATATCATGGAGTTACGCATCAGAGCAGCGGATGCTCACTTAAGCTTCAGATGGAGAGATTATGTGTGTTCCGCAGCCTTTAAGCCAGAGAGTTTGGGTCTTTTTCAGCTTGTCTTCAGCATTTCTAAGCTGCTGGCTTTAAAAAGTGAGTCTAGGTCTGGTTAGAGAACTTTTATATGTTCTCCAGGAATAGTACCTGTGCCCATCATTTCTACTTCTAGAACTGGAGCCCAGCAGGCCTGTGGCTTTATCTGTACTTCCTACTTTCATTTCTGGTCCATTTCTGTCCTGTAGACATGCCCTTTTTGAATACAGATTCTTTTAAGAACTTTCTCTTTTTATAGCTGACTGTGTGTTTGAAGTAGAAGGAACAAATTAGAGAGTAAACTCGTTGTGCCACATTCATAACATGCTACAAATGAATTTTCCATGTGTATTATTTTAATTTTTCCAACTTCTCTGCCTCTTTAGGAAAGGTACACATTTTGTATATAACCTATAACCCCTACTGTGCAGACTGCAGACATCATAAGTATGTAGTCATTGCTAAATCCTTCTTAGTTTATGTGATTTTCTAATAAAAAAGAATCTGATTCCTAATCTTACAAACATTCTGTATTTCAGAATATGTCAATATATATCTGTGTGTGTATGTTTCAGGGTATGTATAAATACATACTTTTCATACCTTTTAGGGTCCCACTGGGTTTATTTACATATTTATATAATTCTCCTGCCCTCAATCTGGTGAAGAATACCTTGAATATGGCTAAAACATCTCTTTATTCCAGAGTACAGAAAAAATTCTGGAATTTCTAATGACAATTTTGGACTCTGCCATAAAACTTCTTTTCCTAGTATTTTAAGTTCATTTTATTGCTTGATTGTTTTTAACCTCTCACAGAACACAGATGGCCAGACTTATTCTGTGTAAGGGCTTGAGGGGAAACTAACTGGCCCACTGATGTTTTTATTTCTCATGATAGTGTTTCCATGTGGAAGTCAGTAGCTCAGTATCACATTGAAAGTATACTGGATATGAAGGCCTGTTTGCCTGTGTCTTGAACTTTTTAGAGTTTGGAAGTCATCAGTCAAACTTAGCAGCTCATTCTTTAAAGCCAAGTTGTTCTGTATTTTCCTTGGCCTGTTTCTTCCAGCAAATATTGTAAGACCTCAATTTTCATTGTGGGCTAATTATTCTCTTCTGTTTGCCTGAACCATAATTCAACGGGAGCTCTTCCTACCCCAGGAAATGAGGGCAGAAATTACATAATTGAGAATAATGGCTTGAAAGACATGAATGTCTAGAATCTTGTGCTAATTCTGATACATACTAGCTTGGTGGTCTTATAGAAAATTCACTGGAAAAAAAGGTTTTCCTCCACTTTTAAAGTAGGATCCTCATAGAGACTAAATATTTATTGAATGACAATCATGATATAAATTTTACCCGGAAAGAATTCATGATCCTATTGTTGAGTGCTGCCTTTCTTAGCATTTTGCATTTTGCGTACTCATGATGAGTAGGAGGGTGTGTGTATATATAGGTCTCTCTTATGTATGTCTGCCTGTCTTTTCCCTGTCTTCACCCTTCCTTACTTCACCATTTTATATTATCTGCCTGACCTCCCAACCCTCTAGACCAGACTGGGCTTAATAACACCCATCCCAATTGACGGGTATATCATGGAGTTACGCATCAGAGCAGCGGATGCTCACTTAAGCTTCAGATGGAGAGATTATGTGTGTTCCGCAGCCTTTAAGCCAGAGAGTTTGGGTCTTTTTCAGCTTGTCTTCAGCATTTCTAAGCTGCTGGCTTTAAAAAGTGAGTCTAGGTCTGGTTAGAGAACTTTTATATGTTCTCCAGGAATAGTACCTGTGCCCATCATTTCTACTTCTAGAACTGGAGCCCAGCAGGCCTGTGGCTTTATCTGTACTTCCTACTTTCATTTCTGGTCCATTTCTGTCCTGTAGACATGCCCTTTTTGAATACAGATTCTTTTAAGAACTTTCTCTTTTTATAGCTGACTGTGTGTTTGAAGTAGAAGGAACAAATTAGAGAGTAAACTCGTTGTGCCACATTCATAACATGCTACAAATGAATTTTCCATGTGTATTATTTTAATTTTTCCAACTTCTCTGCCTCTTTAGGAAAGGTACACATTTTGTATATAACCTATAACCCCTACTGTGCAGACTGCAGACATCATAAGTATGTAGTCATTGCTAAATCCTTCTTAGTTTATGTGATTTTCTAATAAAAAAGAATCTGATTCCTAATCTTACAAACATTCTGTATTTCAGAATATGTCAATATATATCTGTGTGTGTATGTTTCAGGGTATGTATAAATACATACTTTTCATACCTTTTAGGGTCCCACTGGGTTTATTTACATATTTATATAATTCTCCTGCCCTCAATCTGGTGAAGAATACCTTGAATATGGCTAAAACATCTCTTTATTCCAGAGTACAGAAAAAATTCTGGAATTTCTAATGACAATTTTGGACTCTGCCATAAAACTTCTTTTCCTAGTATTTTAAGTTCATTTTATTGCTTGATTGTTTTTAACCTCTCACAGAACACAGATGGCCAGACTTATTCTGTGTAAGGGCTTGAGGGGAAACTAACTGGCCCACTGATGTTTTTATTTCTCATGATAGTGTTTCCATGTGGAAGTCAGTAGCTCAGTATCACATTGAAAGTATACTGGATATGAAGGCCTGTTTGCCTGTGTCTTGAACTTTTTAGAGTTTGGAAGTCATCAGTCAAACTTAGCAGCTCATTCTTTAAAGCCAAGTTGTTCTGTATTTTCCTTGGCCTGTTTCTTCCAGCAAATATTGTAAGACCTCAATTTTCATTGTGGGCTAATTATTCTCTTCTGTTTGCCTGAACCATAATTCAACGGGAGCTCTTCCTACCCCAGGAAATGAGGACAGAAATTACATAATTGAGAATAATGGCTTGAAAGACATGAATGTCTAGAATCTTGTGCTAATTCTGATACATACTAGCTTGGTGGTCTTATAGAAAATTCACTGGAAAAAAAGGTTTTCCTCCACTTTTAAAGTAGGATCCTCATAGAGACTAAATATTTATTGAATGACAATCATGATATAGCTCCTTAGAAAAATGAGATCTGTAGTGACTAGTTACACACTTTCCAATGAAAAAAATGTGATTTTAACTTATCTGGTTCTCAATTAGAAAAATTCCAATGTATGAAAACTAACATTTAATAAAATAGAAATATTTTAAAGATTATTGACATTACTAATACATACATTTAGTTACATTTTATACATTTAATATTTTCAAGAGAATCATGAAAGGCCAGACTCAAGAGAAACTATAGTGTACTTAGTACTTTTAATTATTAATTTACTGAAACCTTCAAAAAAGTTTTCCTAAGAAACATGAAATCTCAACACCACCAATTTGCAGTTAAAGTCTTCCTTTATTGAAGATATCCAAGCAAGGTGAACAACAATTCTTAATCTTTAATGTTCCTAAGTAACACTAGATGATTAGACATCTAGCATAGCTTTTATAATTAAACGAAGCTTAAATACTAAAGATAGTGCTGGCCTTTACAAATACCTGGTCCCTTTTTTTGAAGTTGTTAGTTAAAAACAATGATAAAATATATGGAAAGTATTTACTAGCAATTTTGGAACCAAAAAAAAAGATGTTAAACACATTAAAAAAATTATTCTTTGTATTTCAGGCCCTCCGGGGAAGCGAGGTAAGAGGGGCCGAAGAGGAGAGTCTGGTAAGTCTCTTTCAGCTGCTCTGTGTCATTCATGTTTTGATGAGGCTCCCCGTCTGTTCCTCCTAATTATTATGTTGTCTTGGTGGAGGTTGCACATGTGTGTGTGTGTGTGTGTGTGTGTGTGTGTGTGTGTGTGTGTGTGTGTATTTAAATCTTCTTGGTGAGACCTAGAATATTATTTTTCTCTCATCTTATTTCCATCACACCTTAGGTAGAAGTTTGCACAGTATTGCTAATTACAGTTTAATAATGACACTGGCACCTAATTTTGGCTTATTTACTGTGTCAACTTAAGTCTGTCCTTTCTGTGTAAGAAACCCAGCTGAGGATTTCTTAGCTGCACACACTGTCGCAACCATCACCCATGCCTCCATCACCATAGGTGGTCAGTAAATGCAAGTTTTTTGTGAAAACATCTGCCTTTGACACAGGGGCACATGTCTTGGAAAGCTTTATTCTTATTTTACCCAACTGGTACAATTTTGTCATGCTTTTTGCTCTCATTCTTTTCAAAATTTGAGAATTTTTATTCCTCTTGTATAACCCTAGAGTTTTAGTGATGACAGTACCCAAAGTAATCAATCCAGCATTTTTATTTTGTAGTTGAGGAGCTGGAGGCCCAGAGCAGTCAAGTGATTTGGCCAAGGCCATGCGGTTTTTTATGAACAGAACTTGAAACAGAATCATTGTCCTAACACTCTCTTCAGTGAGTTTTTGCCTTCAGGCCAAATCCCTATGTGTACCTTCCTCATATCTGGCCAGGAAGAATTGATGGCCTGATGAGATTTCATGTGGTCATTGACATTTTTGAAGTCTTAGACTATAAAACAAGTAAAACAGTAAGTGAACACACTTACTAGGATATCTTGGTTTCAAAAAAAAAAATCTTCATTTGACTTTTCTGCTTCCCTTTGGAAGGTAATTTACGGTTTGATTATAGGGTACTAAGAAATGTTATTTTCCAGTATTTTTCTAAGTATTTATCAGTATTAAAAACAACCAATTGCTAGGTGTTAAAACAGCAAAAATTCTAACCTGTCAAGAAGAGCAGACAGCAAACTGATTTTTATTTTAAACCCCTTTCCTCTTTCTTTTGGAATAAAACTGTCAAAGTAAAACAGGTTTATGAAAATTCAATAATTTGGGCAGTGTAGCTGCTTAATTCCTTTAAGAGTATTTTCAAACCTTATCTTCAAACCTCATTTAATCTAAATAATTGGAAATTTGTGTGCATATCACTTTCACAAGGTACACAGTTTTATACTAGAGGGTATGTTATAAATTTGTTTTGAGGGAAAAGAAATGATAAAAATTAGGAAGTCAAATAGTCACTGAATTGATTTCTGTGTCAGAAGAAAGAGGATTATGTAAAAAAGTGCAATTTTATAAGTTATAATTATAGATATAAATTATAGAAATTATTATAGAAATATAGAGTTACAGAAATTTTAAAAGTCATTTTCCAACTTCCTGGCTGCTTACAACTAGTGTTTTCATTGAGCACATGGTATGTACAATATTGAAATTTGCTTAGCCTTTGCCTATGTTTTGATGAGAATATATAGTTTTAAAGAAACATAAACATCAGGACAGTCTTTTATATATTGACAATGCTACTAAATGGAAGTATTCTTAGAATAAGTAATGGGTACATTTCTGATTTAGCCATTTTACCAAACTCAAGAAAGTTTTATATCAATTTTCTATAAGTGGTCTTCTGATTCATATTTTGTCTTAATATTTAGGCATATAAATTAGACAATTTTTACTTAAGATATATGAACCTCTCAGCCATTTATAAACAAGCCTCAGGGAATGTGAGCATTCATTGAACTTTTATGTAAAATTGTGTGTGTGGTTGGATGTAAATGCATATTCCTGCATGGTCCAAAGGGTTCATGACCTAGAAAAAGGTTACATCTGTGTCCTTTGTATTGCGCTGATGATTATGATGATACTTTAATATTTTATTTAATCTTAATATTTTGCATATTTACTAATTTCTCTCTCTTTTCTTTTTCTCTCTACCCCCACCCCTATAGGTCCTCCTGTAAGTATATTCGCTGCATTTTGGCTCTTGTACATTAATCAGGATCACGTATGTTGTATGTTAAAACTTTATTTAAAACACCAAAATGTAGTCTGTATTTCAATTAGAACCATGTTACTGACCTTTTAAGAGTGCTTACCTTTGGGAAATTACTTTTTAAGTATACTATTTTGGATATGTTGAAGTGCACTGTGTGTTGGTTTAAAAAAAAATCTTTTATTTTTAATGTGATCACAAACCAATTGCTCCCTTGGGACTTTTGGCGTAACTTACGAGCTCCTGATATTAAATGCTTTTCCTGGAATTCTGAGGTTTCTTTTGCAAGCAAATCTCCCAGCGATTTCACACTTCTTTTTTCATCTGTTTAAACTTGTATCTGAAATACTTGCATTTGCCAGTCCACCAAATGTAGATGGCAATGCAGTCATGGAAATGATACCCCCCAAGGGCTTGGTCTGGTGCTGCCTCCTTAGGCTCCCTTCCCTTTGAAGTCTGCTAGCATTTGCTGGCATGAAGAGCATGAGATGGAGCCCCTGGAGAGTTGCACTTTCTTTTTTCTTCCCTTGAGTAGGTCATAGCTGCAGCATTCCAGTCTGCTTTGCACTCACAGAAACAGATTATCTTGTCAGTTTTGAGCGGATATGTTTTTGAGAAATATCCTGGATATGTTGTCTGACCCCAGTGTTCATACTGTGCACTGTGCTTTTACGGTAGCGATGATCATGGCCCTTGAGATATTTTCTCATCCCGAATAGCCAGTTTACTCTGGGGTTCACAGACTGCACCTTGGCAACTTATCTAACAGGCCAGCATGGTCCAGGGAGATAGGCTTAGCAAATACTCGCTTATTTTATTCAGAGGAAGCATTGGCTTCCAAATATCTTTTGCAGTCTTCCTGCCATGTTCAAGGATGGAACATAAATCATGTTAGAATGACTTTGTTTCTGTAACTGACTTTTAGCTCCTGCTTAATGCTAGGCAGATGGCATGCGGAAGGTCTAGGAGCCTTATTCTTTGACTTCATATTTAAGCCTTTGTCTTTAAAACTAGAAACAAACCACTACTACCGAGAGGAAACTCCAGGGGTTACAGCCAGAATAGAGTATTCAAAGCATCTTTTTTGTGGATGTAAGAATTAGCCCAAGAGGCAGTTAAATCTCATTTCTACATTATGGTGACATTTGGGACTCAAGTGCTTCCTATTTGGCCTTTCAAAAATCAAGGAAGCCATATAGTTCTTGCTTTCACAGGGCCAGGGCCAACTATTTGTCCGTGTTCTCTACCCTAAGATTTTGATTGGCCTTTTCTTTTTATATAAAAAAGGAAATAGAAGTAATGTTTTAAGCCCCTAGTATATGTCAGGCAGTATTCTAGGCACTTTACCCACATACTTTTTTCATCTTGTCTCAAAATGATCCTCTGATGTGTTCGTTCCCATTGTTCATTGGGGAAACTGAGGCTCATAGAGGTTAGTTATAAATGGTTACACCATTAGAGAGGGTTTGCAAGGTTGGAATTCAATTAGATATGTCTGATTTTAAACCCTTTCTGCTTACCACATTGTCCCTATTCCTTATGAACTGTAAGTGTGTTATAACATGAGGCATTGTTACACAGGTTTGGCAAGCCAGGGGTTAAATCATATTTCTTGATACAAATAAATACATATAATAAAAGCATGACCAAAAAATGAAAAGTAACTAATCTATAAAACAAGCATTAATACTGCTCCACCTCAGCTGCATTTAAAGCAGTTACTTTAAGTTTCTTGCAAATTGCATCAAATCTGAGAAGTAAGGTATGACCATGAGTTTTCCTACTGACTAAAACATAATTCAAGTCATGCACATTTGATAAGAAGAGAAACCATTGATTGTGAAAAAGAGAAAAAATATATATTCATTTTTTTATCTTGGTTAATACAATGGAGTCTTATGACACTTGGTACCCCATGTCATGGGAGTCATTTTGGATGAAATACCTTATAATGAAATCCTCCCGAGTGTCCAATTTCTAAACTGCCATATATGATTTTCAGGGAGTATTTGCCTTTCATCAAATTTCGCTGTAGAGCAGGTGGCTTTATAAAATATTTCCATTATATTTCTTACATCTTAATAAAAGTTAATTAACAGTGGCATTACTGTGATTAAATGGGTTTATCAGTGGTGTATTTATTGAGATGCAATATCTAATTATTAACAATTATAACTTGTAGTAAACATATTCTTCCTATTTTAGCATTATATAATAATGTGTATTTTTTCTTTCCACTGCTTTACTACAAAGTGAAATCTGAAAGTTTCTGTAGTATCATATTGGTGGAAAATTTTCCCCTAATTTTGTGGGTTTTTAAAAATAAATTGTCTAACTATCTCCACATATAAGATATTGGATAAGATATCGAAGCTTATGCTGCCATTTTAATGGCAATTGCCCTTGCCTCCATTCTGTAAATTAAACGTGAAGCACAAAGTTAGTCCAAGAAATTAAATAGTCTTCCTTCTGGCGAGCAATCTTTGACACAGTATCAAGTAAATTCCTCAAGCTTCCTTCTAGTTATGAGCTTCTGTGGTCTGCTGGCTTCATGTAAACAGAAAGATTGTGAGGTGTAACCTGGTGTCCTGATGTGTATTTTCTTGTTTACTTTTACTTTGTTGTGAAATATGCTCAGTAATGCAAAAGAAATCCTTGGGCACTCATCATAATAAACAAAAGAATGAAAGATTGATTGGCCCAAGGGACAATGGCAGATCTCTGAATACTGTGAGTCACCTTTCATCAGCTTAAATACAACTTGACTTGGATCCCACATATCAAATTACTCTTTAGGAAGCTGTTCAGCTTATTACTCAGACTTATCCATTTTGACAAAAAGATGTTGCTACCATAGGAATCTTCACTATAACAGGCTTCAAGGGAGCAATTATTTGATAATGTGTGTAATTTCTTTTTATGTGAATATCAGTTACTTTTTTCTGTTTTCTTTCTCATAAAGGTAACATGTATTAAAACATTGCTCTAAAGGAATCCATGAAAGTGCTTGAGTTTCTAGCTCTGATATCACAAATGTGTTTGCTAGAATGATTTGCCTGATGACCATTGTGCTACCTGATCCCATATGGCATGAAACTGTATCTTCTATTTTGGATATCTTAAAAACACATTCATGTTTCAGTAAGAAACAGGGAGTATGATCAAAACTTACAAAATGGCTTCAGCGTTTCCAAAGGTAGCAAATTTTGCACTAATTTTGACCTTTTTTAGAGTCAGTGGGGGGTGTAGTTTCTCTGACCTTTTGTCACAAAAGGAAGGAGCCATTCTAATATTCACAGGTAACAGAGTCAAACAAATCCTATAACTGTTGACAGAAAAGAGTTGGGAGACGTTTCAAGTGGCTTTTTTATTTGTATCCTTCTGCCAAGCCCTGTAATTGTGCTTGACTGACAGAGATACGGTGTTATTGTTGGTAGCATGGACTCCTCTGGGGTGTGAAATAGGATGCTGTTGTGCAGCTTGTTCTGTTTATCTGCCTTCAACAATTGTCACTTCGATTTGAAGCCCAGAGTCCTGTTGACTGATGAATAAAGCAGATTTAGCCAAGTTAAGCTTACAGTGCTATTTCTGCCGGTGTGGTAGATGAATTAGGAAAAGAGATCTTTGTTGAACTTTTAGATGACAAACTCTGTTATCTTTACTTCATATTGAAAAAGCAATATGACTTTTAAGTCACTAGTAAATCTTTTGCAGATATACTAAGAAGTACAATTTCTTGTGACTACCTACCATGTGTCACTTTACATACCAATTCTCATACCAGTCCTATGAACTAGAGATTGATTATACCCATTCTACAGAGGAAGAAACTGAGGACTGAGCAAGTCAAATAATTTGCCCAAGCACTCACATTTAGCAGGAGGCAAAACAGAATTTGAAACCAGGTCTCTCTCTTCAAAGCCCGTTCCCCACCCCTCCTTACTTCAAGAGATGTTTTTCAGGCAAATAAGATTTAAGTGTGACCACCTTTGTAAGTACCTTCTTTGTTTATCTTATCGCAGCCCCTATTATCTATGGTTCACTTTAAGCTTTTCTGAGTTCCCTGTAGATTTCCCATCTTCTGTGTGCTCTTTCATATTGCCAGTTACTCAGAACAGATTTGTAAATCATTTCATTCTCATGTAATGGAAGTAAATTTTGTGCAGGTAGGAGCTTGACTGTTGAGTCAAGAAGATCGAATATAAAATTGTCATGGAGTATTTCAGCAAATGTTTCTTTAATTGCTCTTTGGTTGTAGTCCTGCTTAATTATTAAAATATTATTTCTATTTGGGTTCAAAGGGTGTGCTTTTGAAAGTGTAGCGACTTTTACTTTTTCTATAATAGTAGGGTATTAGTGTTGGGGCGGGGAGCAAACCATTTATCTTATGCAAAGCAGTATCGCTACAGAATACCAGGATGGCTAGATAAATTCAGATGTACTCGCCATAAGAAACCAGAGAAACAAACAAAACAAAACTGCAGAGTTAATTTGCACTTAAAGACTGGGAACAGAGCTGGACTAGAATGGCCTTAGGCTGCTACAGACAGGTTGTTCATTTTGGGATACTACCTTTTGTCTCATGTAACAAAAGGTAGAAAAAGAGAATGTAACTGTAATTCTTACCTGGAATAGATTCCCAATGGCTTTTTAGGTCTTCTGGTTTGAGTAGCTCAGGAGCCATGTCTGAAGAGGGAACTGTGCTCGCTGGTGATTTGATTCACTGCAGTCTCTCATGTTGCTTATATAGATTTAGTGCCAGGTTAAGCAGAGCTTCAGAATTCTTGAAGGGGCAGAGAGAATGGATAAAGACCCACATTTAAGATAAATAAGGGTGTTAGAGTTAAAAAAGAAAATGAAGGAGGAGGAAATAGACATAACAAAAATATTGACTATATTCTTCTTTACATTATTTTTTCTTGGCTGTTTCTGGATACCATCTGTTTTAGAATTTTAGCTCTTAA